ATTTTAACCAAGTCTAAGACCCTCTCATTTATTTCCGTTCTGATTCTTCCAATCTCTTTGATTCTCTAAGGACACATATTTAACCTTTAAATTTTACAAAGCTTTATATATAAATTGGAGAGTGTGATTTCTTTTTTTGAAAGCCAAGTTTTATAAGTAAAAGTAAACCCTGCACAAAACATTTAAGAGTGCACCAAAAGATAGAGGGTAAAACAACCCGTTATCATTGATATGCACAAATCTCCTAATTTCATTATTCAGAAATTCCAAATGAGAATTAGAAGTTAATAGACTTTCATTAAGTCTCTATCTGGTTCTATACTAATACTCCCTATTGTTTGAGATTTAAAAAAAACAAAAAAAAAAAAACTGGAGGGTTGTCAGTCAAGGTGATTGAACCGATTTCTACTTTATTAATAAGTTTGAAGCAATTAAGGTTGGTTAAAAAAAATCTATACGTGAATAAGATTGATGCTAGGAAGAGAAAAAGGTGTATTCACAATCATTTGGGTGGAATACTCACCAACAGTCATATAGGGCATTATTTATAAGAAATTCATGAATACAAACTTCCGAGGACTTCATATGGGGTCCACTGGAGGAATTTTAACTACGATTTCTATCCAGTTTCAGGTTCACTACAATTTCCTCATCAATTATCAATCTAGCAGTAGAAAACTAATCAATCTTATTGTATAGTTTCTTTAAGAAATTCAATGGTGACTGATTTGGTGTGTAAATTTAAACTAATGTATACAGAACATCGTTCAATTTAACAATTACGATTTGAAAACAGCAATTATTGTCCAAAATTTGATGAACTAGCTCTACTTTAATTTTCTCAGATATGATAATGGCCCACACCTCTCCTTTTTGACCTTGCATATTTGCCAAACAAAAACATAAAAACATTAAAGTAATGGTTACATTTCCATATTTTTTTGTCACTTATGGCTTCCACCCATTGCTAATAGGTTGGGGCTTTAGGTCCACCGTTTAGTTTAATAGCCCCCTCTAATCAATTATCTCCCCATTAATTATTTTAGTATGTAAACCAACATGTTGCTTTTTATTGAATTACGGTGTTGAAGGGCCTTTTTGAAGGCTCGCCACTGTTTAGTAGACATGCCATGGCACGAATTGGTTCGGAATTTCATTCATTTGAATGAAAATCTGAACCAAACAAAATTTCATTTTGACACGAATAGACAAACTTTCAATATTCTATAGAATTAGTGAATTCAACAGCGCCTTGTTTAAATGACAGTATGTTCGAATGACGAATGAAGCAACTAGAGATGACACATAGGAAAGGTGAGTATTGTGGGAAATTTTCTTTGAGCATAGGAAATGGAGCGGACTGCTCGTTTGTTCAAAGAAGGCCAAGCATAGGAAAAATACACAAGACAAATTATTCCCTACTTTGTCTTATGTTTTAAAGAAAACTAGATTAGACTGGGAGAAAAGAAGAACAGATCCAGAGAGAGGAAGAGAAGAGGAAACAATAGGACCAAGGTAAGTTTGGCATGACAGTGCACTAAGCACTAAGGAATTACTAAAACCATGAGATATCAGTGCAGAGCCAGCTCTAAGCAAATAGTGTACAAAGAGGGACATATTCATTTTAGGGGTGTGAGAGGGCATATGGTGAGGCTGTTTAAGAAATTTTAAATGACTTGCTAAGAAGAATATATGCAAGAATAGTGTATCTTATTTATACAGCCTGATTTAGAAACAAATGTATTTTAATTTAAAGACACATTCTTTCAGGAAGTGTTCCAGATGATTGGAGGAAGGCAGATGTGCTTCCTATATTCAAAAAGGGTTCATAATCCTTGCCCTGAAATTATAGACCTGTGAGCTTAACTTCTGTGGCTGGTAAAATATTTGAAAGGGTATCAAGGGATAATATTCAAGAATTCCTTGAGAAGAACATGGTTATCAGCAAAAATCATCATGGTTTTATGAAGCACAGGTCATGTCAAACTAACTTGATTGCATTCTACGAAGAAGTAAGAAGAAGTATAGCAGGGTGTTGCAGTGGATGTGATCTATTTGGATTTTGCCAAGGCATTTGATACAGTTCCACACAATAGATTAGTGTTCAAACTCAAAAAAATCGGTCTAGATGAAAATTCTTGTTCTTGGGTAGAACATTTGCTTACAAATAGAGTACAAAGAGTTGTCATTAATGGTAAATTTTCAAGATGGACAGAGGTGGCAAGTGGTGTCCCTCAGGGTTCTGTTCTGAAACCCCTTCTATTTAAAATGCTTATAAATGATCTTGAAAAAAGCATTAAAAGTCATGTTTCAGTGTTTGCAGATGACACAAAACTCTGTAAAGTAATACAATGTGAGCAAGATATTACCTTGCTGCAGAGGGATTTAGACAGACTTGGCGACTGGGCACTCAAATGGCAGATGAAATTCAATGTTGAAAAATTCAAAGTTATGCACTTTAGCGTAAAGAATGCACAAGCAAGGTATACCCTTAATGGAAGCGAATTAGGGATAACAACACACGAAAAGGACTTTGAAATTGTTATAGACAACAAACTATGCAATAATGTGCAATGTCAATTAGCAGTGGCTAAGGCCAGTAAGGTATTGTCATGCATGAATAAGGGCATTCATTCTCGGGATGAGAATATAATTTTGCCTCTTTATAAATCACTGGTAAGACCACATCTTGAATATGCTGTGCAATTTTGGGCACCTGTTCTAAAGAAGGATATTATGGCACTAGAAAATGTGCAGAAGCGGGCTACAAAATTAATAAAAGCAATGGAACATATCAGCTATGAAGAAAGGCTAACAAACTTTAACCTGTTTAGTTTAGAAAAATGCCGCCTGAGAGGGGATATGATAACATTATACAAATATATTCAGGGCCAATACAAACCATTGTGTGGAAATCTACAGTTGCAAGAAAAACTATGTGAACCCTTTGGAATGATATGGATTTCTGCACAAATTGGTCATAAAATGGGATCTGATCATCATCTAAGTCACAACAATAGACAATCACAGTCTGCTTAAACTAAGAACACACAAAGAATGAAATGTTGCCATGTCTTTATTGAACACATCATGTAAACATTCACAGTGCAGGTGGAAAAAGTATGTGAACACCTAGACTAATGACATCTCCAAGAGCTAATTGGAGTGAGATGTCAGCCAACTGGAGTCCAATCAATGAGATGAGATTGGAGGTGTTGGTTACAGCTGCCCTGTCCTATAAAAAAACACACACCAGTTCTGGATTTGCTTTTCACAAGAAGCATTGCCTGATGTGAATGATGCCTCGCACAAGAGAGCTCTCAGAAGACCTACGATTAAGAATTCTTGACATGCATAAAGCTGGAAAGGGTTATAAAAGTATCTCCAAAGGCCTTGCTGTTCATCAGTCCACGGTAAGACAAATTGTCTATAAATGGAGAAAGGTCAGCACTGCTGCTACTCTCCCTGGGAGTGGCCGTCCTGTAAAGATGACTGCAAGAGCACAGCGCAGACTGCTCAATGTGGTGAAGAATCCTAGAGTGTCAGCTAAAGACTTACAAAAGTCACTGGCAAATGCTAACATCCCTGTTAGCGAATCTACAATACGTAAAACACTAAACAAGAATGGTTTTCATGGGAAGATACCACAGAGGAAGTCACTGCTGTCCAAACAAAACATTGCTGCACCTTTACAGTTTGCACAAGAGCACCTGGATGTTCCACAGCAGTATTGGCAAAATATTCTGTGGACAGATGAAACCAAAGTTGAGTTGTTTGGAAGAAACACACAACACTATGTGTGGCGAAAAAGGCACAGCACACCACCATCAAAACCTCATCCCAACTGTGAAGTATGGTGGTGGGGGCATCATGGTTTGGGGCTGCTTTGCTGCATCAGGGCCTGGACGGATTGCTATCATTGAAGGAAAAATGATTTCCCAAGTTTATCAAGACATTTTGCAGGAGAACTTAAGGCCATCTGTCTACCAGCTGAAGCTCAACAGAAGATGGGTGTTGCAACAGGACAATGACCCAAAGCATAGCAGTAAATCAACAACAGAATGGCGTAAACAGAAGAAAATACGCCTTCTGAAGTGGCCCAGTCAGAGTCCTAACCTCAACATGATAGAGATGCTGTGGTATGACCTCAAGAAAGCAATTCACACCAGACATCCCAAGAATATTGCTGAACTGAAACAGTTCTGTAAAGAGGAATGGTCAAGAATTACTCCTGACCATTGTGCACGTCTGATCTGCAACTACAGGAAACATTTGGTTAAAGTTATTGCTGCCAAAGGAGGTTCAACCAGTTATTAAATCCAAGGGTTCACATACTTTTTCCACCTGCACTGTGAATGTTTACATGGTGTGTTCAATAAAAACATGGCAACATTTCATTCTTTGTGTGTTATTAGTTTAAGCAGACTGTGATTGTCTATTGTTGTGACTTAGATGATGATCAGATCACATTTTATGACCAATTTGTGCAGAAATCCATATCATTCCAAAGGGTTCACATACTTTTTCTTGCAACTGTATTCACAAACCAGACTTTACATAGGACACAAAGTCATGCGTTTAGACTGGAAGAAAGAAGATTTCGTCTAAGGCAAAGAAAAGGGTTTTTTTTTCCTGTAAGAACAATAAGGATGTGGGATTCTCTGCCTGAAGAAGTGGTTTTATCAGAGTCCATACAGATGTTCAAACAGCAACTAGATGCATACTTGCAAAAGCAGAATATTCAAAGATATAATTTTTCAATGTAGGGTAATAACTTCTTGGTCCAAAGATAAATCTGACTGCCATTCTGGGGTCAAGAAGGAATTATGTTTCCTATTTTGTTGCAACATTGGAAGTGCTTCAAACTGTTTGCCTTCTTTTGGATCAACCGCAAAAAAAACAAAATGTGAGGAAGGCTAAATTTGATGGACACAAGTCTCTTTTCAGCTATGTAACTATGTAGCTATGTACTGCTGTGAATATTATTGTTGTGGAGCTCTCTTACTTTCTCAGACACACTAACAATATTGAACTCCTAGAAAAGGGGGACTTTTGGATAGAAAACAGGGACAGAAGGATTTTGGATTATCACTTATGAGGTACAATGCAGCAGGATTCTGACAGACTCCTTATTACATTTGCCACTGGCAATACTGTCAAGCTGCGATGATAGAGATGATAGCGATGGCGATTCCTCACATAGGAAAGATACATAAAACAAAGTATTCCTTACTTTGTCTTATGTGTTAAAGAAAACTAAATTAGACAGGAAGAAAGGGAGAACAGATCCTGAAAGAGGAAGAGAAGAGGAAACAGTAGGAGGAAGATAAGTTCAGCATGACAGTGCCGCTTTAATCAGCAATAGAGAATTACTGAAACCATGAGATATCAGTGCAGAGCCAGCTCTAAGCAAATAGTGTACAAAGAAGGCCAAACATAAGAAAAATACACAAGACAAATTATTCCCTACTTTGTGTTATGTTTTAAAGAAAACTAGATTAGACCAGGAGAAAAGAAGAACAGATCCCGAGAGAGGAAGAGAAGAGGAAACAGTAGGACCAAGGTAAGTTTGGCATGACAGTGCACTAAGCACTAAGGAATTACTAAAACCATGAGATATCAGTGCAGAGCCAGCTCTAAGCAAATAGTGTACAGAGAGGGACATATTCATTTTAGGGGTGTGAGAGGGCATATGGTGGGGCTGTTTAAGAAATTTTAGATGACTTGCTAATAAGAATTTATGCAAGAATAGTGTATCTAGTTTATTCCTCACACTCTAAATTTTATTTGGAAGAGTGGTCCACTGGTTCTCCTCTCAGGGTCATCTGGAGGAATCTGATCAAACTCTGTGAGATGTTGTAATATAGCTCTAGTTCCTGGAAATGCCAGGTCTTGATGGCTCTCGTAGTGGGCCGGTCGCTCATCCCTGAAAAGGGTCACATAATTGCCCATCTCTCACCCAAGTACCGCTCTCCCCTAAGAGAAGGAAACTAGCTAATTTTCTCTACTCTCAGTTCATAGTTGAAGTATTTCCTTTGATGTAATGGGGTGCTTCCAAGGTGAGTAAAGTAATATATATATATATATATATATATATATATATATAAAAAAAGGCTTGCCTGGAGTTGTGGGAGGGGCGTGGTGATCCTATTTAAACTCACCCCCCTTTCTCTGCATCACCGTGTAGTTTTGACTTCGGCACGCATCACTTCCGGTTTCGGACTTCCGGGTTACGATCACTTCCGGTTCGCGTTCTGTGTGTTTCAGTTCGGCAAACAGCTGCTGTTTTCCCACACGCTCGGGGGCACAAAAATCGTGAGTTTTGCATACCCCGGTCCCCTCACCATCTGCCACACTCCCGATGGTCCATAGAGGTGGGGGGGCTGGCAGAAAAATGCACGGACCCAGCAGCCAGAGACCACACAGGTCTCCACACTGCTGACAGCTTCAGCTTACTTAGTACACTACTAAACAAAGCTTACAGGCTGCTGGGGAAGTTAAACTGTAAATACTGCAGCTCATACCACAGTACAAGTACTGGGCTGCATAATGTATATACTGTTATGACATACTACTCACTGCATACTATTTTATACTTAGCACATACTAACTAAACTGCATACTAATTTATACTTTATGTCATACTACTTACTGCATTCCACTGTATACTTAGCACTTACTAACTAAACTGCATACGAATGTATACTTTATGTCATACTACTTACTGCATTCCACTGTATACTTAGCACTTACTAACTAAACTGCATATGAATGTATACTTTGTCATACTACTTACTGCATACTACTGAATACTTAGCATATACTAACTAAACTGCATACTAATGTATACTTTATGTCATACTACTTACTGCACACTAATGTATACTTTAGGTCATACTACTTGCATACTAATGTATACTTTGTCATACTACTTACTACATAATATGGTATACTTGGCACATACTAACTAAACTGCATACTAATGTATGCTTTGTCATGCTACTTACTGCATACTACGGTATACGTAACACATTCTAACTGAACGACATAATGATGTATACTTTATTTTCATACTGCTTGCTGCATACCACTATATACTTATCATATACCAATTAAGCTGCATACTAACGTATATTATTTCATGCTAGCTTGCCACGGTCTATGTACGACACTACAGTAATACATACTGCTATGTAACACACTACTAAGCTGCTCTACGGTATTACAAACTACTGGGCTTATCACTAAGGTTCAAATGGTGTTACATTCTATTGCGTTACATACTACGGTATGCCATAATACTATATGACTTGTGGCATACTATGGTGTTATATACTACCATGGCACAAGTGGTGCAACATGTGGTGGTATTTCATGCCACTTGACTACGTGACCGTAGGGCACATTCTAAGATACGCGCTACGCGATAAATGAGTGCAGCCGCTTATATGTTATAGTGGTGCGGGTGGCTGTGGATAACAATGTGTTCACATGCCTTACGTGCATTATACTACAAAGCTAGTATCAGTGATTACATTACTTATTTCTCTATGCTTACTTTTCAGGTTCAAGTTGACTCAAATCAACTACGTTCATTACTATCAAATCTTTATTTAACATTGTCCAGTAAGTAAGGTGTTAAGTAAGGGGTACTCTCAGCATAACAAAGGGGAGTACGTTTATTACCATGTATAACATATACTCCTCTCTACTATCACCAGGTATAAACCTCACTTCCATTAGTTTAGTGGTGGAAGTCTCAGGTTCTCTGTTGGTTGTGACCTAATTTTTGATCCAACAACAACAAGCGGTCTCAGGTACGTTTTGCCTAAAACACCCCCCACCCCTCCCCCCTTAGAGCTTATGATTTAGTATTACTGGCATATCTAGGATAGGCGGCCACTAGTAAATTATCCGGGCTTCTTCGCCTTAGTAGTAGTGGTCCCGCGAGGCCAACCCATTTCCTCCACGCTTGAGGACATTCGCCCCTCGGGCCAAATCATAGTTAGCCGCCTCGCACGGTTGCATAGAGAGGGCCTCACTTGACACTCCCATTCTATATTATGCGCTTTAATCGTCATCGAGAGGCCAACACCCTGCCACAACGTTTCGGAGGCAACAATTCCCTCGCGCCAATCGATAGAGAGAGCCTCTCAAGCCACTTGGCAACTAGCAGGGCCTCACCTGTCACCACACCTCGGAAATTGTTTCGCCATCCTGCATTAGCTAGCCAGCCATTAACCAAAAGATGGTATAATGGCTGATGGTTTGATTATTTCCTTTTAGTATGTCACATCTACCGGATGACACAGAAAATTTATCTCTACCCATTTCTCCGGCCAGATCCTTGTCACCTACTCGCAAAGGCGACGTTGGGAGTCCAACCTCAATAAGGTCATGGACCATCCCTCGCATTAAGGCAGAACTCCGGAGATGCAGCATTCCTTTTCCTGCCACGGCCAGGAAAGCTGAGCTCTACAAATTAATGCGGACTCATACTGATAACTCGGGGGCGGGAGAGGGCACAACTGGTATGGGAAACTCGCTTCACTAGTAGCATCCATGAGCAAGGTCAACGAGAGACTGGATAGGATCGAGGCTCGGAGCCCTCCTGTCAGGTCTCCCAGGCCCTCGACTGCCTTACTCCCCAATGCTCCACTATTGCAATCGGGTAATTATGTGCCTTCTGGTTCCGAAACTCACATTATTAATCCTGTGCACATGGTCCCAGAAAAGATTAAGAAAGACATCTTGGAGGGGAAGGATGTCAATCTTGTGGCACTACTTATTGCTTCTCACAATGTCATTGATAACCGCACTTATGCTTATGGTGATATTTCAGTGGTATTGAAAGCCAGGGACCCTAGACTGAATAAGAAACTGTCCATAACGGATTTTGTCTTGGCTTTTGGTATATATTGTGATGTAATTTGTTCTGTTTATCCGCATAGACGAGAGGAACTCGACCTCTACATGCACAAGCTGGTGGACTTGGGAAGCAAATATGGTGGGTCATCCTTTTATGACTATCACCAATCCTTTTCGGCAAGAGCGTCTGCAATATTGGCTCAGTATAACGTCAAAACTGACTGGAGCCGCATGGATACTGAGCTATTTTGTAGACATTTTGCCGGTCTCAAGACACTAGCTTGTGCAGTTTGTGCTTCAACATCTCATTCCTCGGACTATTGTCCCACTATGCCAGAGTCCACACCTGGGACTTTCCGCGAACCACAGACCAGGTTGGACAGATCTGGTAAGGACAAACTTGGTCGCCCTATTGTTTACCTGGGAAAGTCTCAGGTTTGCAATAACTTTAATGTAGGTAAATGTGGTTATAGTGCCTGCAGGTTGTTACAGTTCACACTGTTTTAGGGCACACGCTAAGTCTATGTGTCCCAATAAAAGTCCCACTAAACCATACTTGACATCCGTAAAGATTGGTTCTTTGGCACACGCATTAGCCTCTCATCCATCCAAACACCTAGTGGACTTTTTGATAGTTGGTTTCAGGGAGGGATTCCATACAGGGTTGGTTCATACTCCCGCTGGCATTTACGAATGCAACAATTTACAGTCAGCATTTGCAAACGTGGAAATGATCGATGCTCTATTACATAAAGAATTAGAGGATGGGTTTTTATTGGGACCTTTTCACGAGCCCCCATTTTCCAATTGGCGAACCAACCCCATAGGATTAGTCACTGGGAAATCCTCAGGGAAACACAGACTGATTTTAGACCTATCAGCACCTCACTCCTTGGCCATACCAAGCCTCAATTCCCTAATTCCATCCGAAGAATTTTCACTCCAGTACGCCACTATAGACAACGCTATACACACCATCATCACAGCTGGCGTAGGTGCTTGGCTCAGTAAAACTGACATTGTCAATGCGTTCAAGTTGCTACCCATTCGCCCGTCACAATGGCATCTGCATGGTTTAAAATGGAAAGGTGTCTATTATTTTTTCACAAGACTCATGTTCGGGTCAAAAAGCAGCCCAAAAATATTTGACATCTTTTCCGAAACCTTATGTTGGCTGCTGTTAAACAATTGCAGATGCCAGGCCGTTATATATTATCTGGACAACTTTCTGTTCGTGGAGAATAATTCCTCTTCCCCCAGTGATCTGACAAAGGCCATATCATTTTTTTCATTCTTTGGGGATGCCAGTGTCCCCCAAGAAAACAGAAGGCCCTGACACATTAGTAAATTTCCTA